CGACCAACATATAATTTAGCCTCTCCCTGATGTCCTCCCACAACTGTACCATCTTCGAGTAGACCATTACTTGATCTGACCCACATAAAAGATCCATAATCTCCATATAAAACTTGGTAATCGTTATAGACGTATTGCCTTGCATCATTTGTTACATAACACACATGATGGGAAGGTATCAGCTACGGAAACATTATTACCTATTTTAAACAACAAGAATAAAAATTAGAATGCGTTTACCTTTCCAGGCAACATATCATCTTCATGTTTTGCACGAGATACAAAAACTTCTTGTTGATCATTGTAATAACCTGCAACTAAACATCCATCTGGTACTTCACCGTCTTTTGCATCAACCCAAGACATTTTTGATCATTTTTTAATTAACAAGAACTATATTTTATTATTTATCAGATTGATTTCATTTATAAACTACATGCAATAAAAAAACAAACAAAAATTGTAACAACAATGCTAATTAATAAAAAAATTTATTTGTTTTGATTAGTAACATAACTCTAAAAAACAAAAAAATTCATTTTTTAAGTTTAAATAAAGGTGTTATTGTTTGCTTAAAAATAAAACACTTTTTGAAAATTATAACAAAAACATTTTTTATTTTTTGTTTATAAATTACATTTTTTTATTTTTGATGGGTAAATGCACACAAATTGTAGTATATTTAAACAAGGAAAATATTTGTGTGTTTTTAAAAAACAAAATTGTCGATGTTACTAAACCATATAATTAAATAAATTGGTATAACAAAAAAAGTTGTGTTAATAAAACTGTATTATTCATATCATACATACAATATTGAAACAAGGAAAATCAAAATAGAAATAGTATATATTGGCATGATTTTTATTTAAAACTTCAGCATTTATTATATTTGATAAAATAAAATTATTACATCATAATAATTTTATCTCAGTTTCTAAAACAAAACTTAACTAACAAAAATGGATCCTGAAATTTTAGATTACACTTATTACATTTGTTTGCCAATGACGTTTGTCATTTTGGCAATATTTGTTAAAGTGTTTATTTTTCGTGAACTAAAAGAAAAATCATCTTAAACTTTATTTTTTGTAACTTTTAAATTGTTTACAATATTTCATTTAAAATAATAAAAATTTGTATTATTTATTATTCAAACGTGTCAAGTAATTTTTGAGCCATTAATTGTTCAACTTTTTTAGCCAAAATTTCATGTTTGTTGCTCATCATTATGCGATTTGAAGCTTTTTTTAATTTGGCTTTTACTTCTTCATTTGCCATTAATTGATTGATTTTCTCAACAAGTTGTTCTTTTTTGAACTCATATGGATCCAGACGACAACCATAACCCGTTTCGTGTAAACGTTGAGCGTTATCGTATCTATAAATAAAATATTAATGATTTTTTAGAATATTGTTTAAAAATGTTTACTTACTGGTCTCCAAACAGAGGAAATACAATCATTGGTACTGCTAGTGCAAACACTTCTGTTATGGTATTGTTTCCTCCATGAGTTATGACTAAATCCATGTGCGGAACCAGCTTCATTTGAGGCAAAAATCGATCACCCCATGCATTATTTGGAAGATTGATCTCTTGATGACGAGGTCCTTTTGAAACAATATATTTGTGATTAGTATCAGCAATTGTTTCTAAAATTCGATTCATTAAGTTTAAATCAATTGAGCCCATTGAACCTGGATTAAAGTTTTGTTTAATATTTTAACTTATTGTATAAATAAAAATATACTACCTAACGAAAGGTACACCCATTTTCCAGACCATTTGCCTTTAAGCGTGTTGCTGAAAAAATTTCCAGGAAGTATTTCACTTAAACAAACTTTATCATTTATTGTAAATTTGTTAAAAACTTCCAAGTTAAACCAATTAGTTTTTTGAATTACTGGGTAATTGTACTCTTCTGGAAATGCGTACAAAGTCAACAAAGATTCATTGATTGGCAAAACAACGTCGTTTGTAAATCGAGGATAACCGTTTTGTTCTAGGTAATCATTAAACAGTTTACTGTGTTTAAAAAGACGGTTTAGCTTTTTGAACCGTTGCCATTTTTCATCTTTTGGTGAGTTTGATGGAAATCCTAAAAAACAGTTTTATTATTACACTTTTTTTTAACAAAAACAAACTCATTAATCAGAAATGTTACCTGATCCATTGGGAGGAACCTCATCAGTGTCACAAGAAATGTAGATGACCGGCGTTAAGCTCATATTGAGCACCCATGGAATGCCAGAGTAGTAGATGGAAGGCCAAATGTAGGCAGCATCAAACCAAATTAAATCAGGTTGGTACTTTTTAATGGCATTTTCGATGAACAAGTTACTTTGTTTGACTACTTCAATTGCTCTTGGCGTGTAATGAAACACAGTCAACAGTGCTTCGTACTTAGCTTCCAGCGGATATGGACCAATGACTCCTTTGGTAAAAAGATCGTTGGCCCAAGTTTCACCGGCATTGTTTCCCACTCCATCTGTCTGAAGCTCATATGTATCTTCTTCAAAACCGAGCGTTGCTAGTTTGCCTTTAAAAGCTTTTTCAACTACGAAAATCACTCGATGGCCTCGTTTCAGCAAGGGCGCAGTTGATCCAGCACAAGCGTTCACGTGTCCAACACAGTCAATTGGTGTGACTAAAATGGTCAGTCGTCTCATTTTTTAAACAATCAGCTGTAGTCAGTTTTTGAATTTTTACTACAGTAAAAATCGCATTTGCAAAATAAAATATGACTGCAAAAACAAAAATTTTTCATACTTATTTTGCTACATGGTCAAAGTTGGTGTTGATATGTCTTATCTTTTCAAAATATATTAGCAATTGCGCAAATCATTTTTTTGAACAAAGTGCAAGATACGTATTTTTGTTAAAAATATTTTAGCAAATGTTTTGTAGTTTTTAAAAACAATTTTAATTTAAAAAACTATAAATGTTTTTATTTACAACAATTGACAAACTTTATTAATGACGCAATTTTTTGTTTTAAAAACATTGTCAAAGATATATGATTTGTTTAGAACATTTTTAAACAAAAATTAACATTTGGTTTAACGGTTTTGAGAATTAGTTATTATTCCAATTTAAAATTTTAATTTGATAAAAAAACAACAAAAAACTTTTAAAAAACAGTAAAAACATTACAATTAAAACAATGTTGTAAAAATCAACTACTTTGAGTTTATTTAAAAAATAGTTTAAAAACATTTAATAAATGAAATTCATATTACGTTTGCAGATTGAATTTTTTTGTTAATTTTAATTGATAACTCGTCAACTAAAACTTTAACTCGTTGCAATGAAATATCATCTGTTGCATTAATAATTCGAAACAAATATGAATACATAAAACTAATATCCATTTGTAAATCTTGACTTTCTTTGTCTTTATGTTGTGTTTTTAAATGATCAACAACTTTTTGTGCCTTGTTGCATAATTCAGTTGTGTTATTTTGTAAATTGGTGCGTTCAGTTATAAAGTTTCGACCTGATTTGTCAATGTTATGAACTGACAATTGTAAATTTTCTAGTTGTGAACTTAGTTTTGAAAAATTTGATTCATTGTTTGTGCCATTTATTTCTTTAATGATTTTTTCAATTTTAAGCAATTCATTATTTAACAAATTAAAATAATAATTTCCATAATGTTCATTAAAAAATTTTTGATTTTGTTTGCACAAATTTTCTAAATTAAGAGCTTTTTTTAAAAGTTCAGTTTTTTCTGTCGTACTTTGTGCAACTACAATTAAAAATTTATTAGTTTTTTAAATTAAGTTTTGATGTTTAATGTTTTTACCTTGAAACGAAATACAAAATAAAACAAACAATATAAACTTCATTGTTAAAAAACTTGTTTTACAATATAAAATATTTAAAATATTGTTTTTTTACTTTTATGTAAAACTTTTAGTTATAGTTTTAAAAATCAGCAGTTTTGTTTTTTTATAATCAAACAAATGGATTTAAAAATTATCGCTTTTTACATTTAACAAATTATCTGCAAAACTTTGCTAAAAATTTAGAAAAGGTCATTTTAATTATTTTAATCAAAAACTGTGTTTTGTTTGTGCTTAAAGTATGCTTTGTTAAAACAATTGAAATATTTTAATCTTAATAAAAGTTATTAACAAAAAATTTTAAATTATCAATTTTTTTAAATAACTTTCAAAATACTTTAAAACGATAACTGATTTTCAAATTACAATACCAAATTTTTTAAAGTTTTTTAATTAAATTCAGCTCTAAACCTAACTGGATATTGACACATCAGTAAAACAAAAAAATATTTTTTAGTTTTATCGATAATTTTTGCAATTTTTATAAATTGATTAGTAATTTAACACAAAATCACGCAAGCCAAAACTTTATAAATGTTTCAGTTTGAAATAGGAATTAAGAAATAATTATTTTTGTATTTTTTACACTTGAAATTTTTTAGTTTAGGTTTTTATGTAATTTAAAAAAATATTAATTTTACTAATCAATTTGTGAATATGCACCAAAAAACCGTTAATAAAAACACGTTGCACAAGATCAGGCTCTTTATGTTAACATGTTACGTTGAGCGTGAACGTCAAAGTTGTGGGCAGCAGTGACCAGTTTAATGAGCTGCGCTTTGTTCATTGCTTCTGCAGACAACGTCATCCACATTTAAATTGTCACTTTTTTGTTTTTAGTTCAATAAACAATTTCACAATTTCACAATTTCGCTTTTTACCACAACTGATTTTACATTTTAAGTATTAATTCATTGCAAAAAGAGCAACAAATACAGCAATAAAGTCGTCAATTGAAATTTACTCTATGGCAAAATCTCAAACGTAAACACAGTTTTGTTGTTTGTTTTGGGGCAATCAACGCCTATTACTGCCAGTATTCGGTTCGTAGCATTGAGTTTTAACATAGTTTGCATATCTAACTAAAGCTTTATATTTAACAGATACACACCAGTACTTGCAATAAACAAGAATAAAAAAATTTTAGTGCAAGTATGACTTCAAAGAACGATTCGACCATGGACGCAATTCCCCTGGCAGACGATGAGACAACGGCGGAGATAACCGAGGCGGACATTCTCAAACTAAGTCTCGGCAGCGGCAACAAGACCAGAGCTGCAGCTGCAGTCACCGCTGTTCGCAGCTCAGGATCTCCGAACCAGGCAATGTCAAGCACTGAATCAATTCCCTACGGTGGTGCCGTCTCCACTAGCTCCTCTTCGCCGGCACAACCAAATTGTACGTTTAAATAACGGTGCACTAGTTGATTGTTTACAGTGTACACCAGTTTTAATTTGTCTTTTTACCAACACAGCCCTTGACATTGACATTAATCCGGATGAGGCTGAGGAGAAAGATCGTCTTATTAGTCAAGTTTTGGAGTTGCAAAATACTCTTGACGGTAAGTGCTTCCGTTTCAAATTACAAAAACAATTTTTTATTTGTTTGTGTTTTAATTTTTTACAGAATTGTCTTTGCGCGTCGACAGCGTCAAAGAGGAGAATCTCAAATTGAAATCTGAAAACCAAGTATTAGGGCAGTACATTGAAAACCTGATGTCAGCTAGTTCTGTCTTTCAATCAACCTCACCAAAGGTAACCTCTAAAACCGCTTCACCGCAACCCGACTCAAACAGCTCTAAAACACCTGATTCAAAAGCAGCCTCCTCAAATGCTGCCGTCACTTCGACAAACTCAGTGATTATTTAGTTTAGGCAAACAAATCTATTCTAGACACTTTTACAAGTTATCAACTTTCAAAATTATTTACCAAATCTACCCACTTTGACTAACACTCGCAACACTCATGTTTGTAAACAAATCCAAAGAGCACTTTTATATTGGCAATGGCAGCAATGTAATGCCATCCACACACTCAATCATTTCAACACTTTTTACCTAGTCTGCACTGACGGTTTGAGTGATACAAACAACCGAACGTCTGCAAGAACACTCTGCACAAAGTGATTTGCAGTAAGACCAGTACATAGCAGCTTGCATTGAAATGTCAGTGTCATAACACAGAATGATACCCATCTCAAATGTCTATCTACTGTAAGCCCAGCTTTATTAATAAAAAGTATTCAAGTTAACAAGTCTGCCAATTTACATTAATGACATTTATTTGCAAACTTTAAAATCCCAAGCTCTCAGTCAACCTATTTATACGGACTACTATTTTCACCGAGGCGTAGTATATAGCCACCGCCTTTATATTGATTGCCCATTTTGAGTGGAGCACACTGCCCACTTCAGAAAGCTCCTTTCCGCCTGTGACTGTTTTGTCGTCTACTGAAACGACTGGGCAGCAGTGCCCCTGTCAGTTGCAGCCGACTGCAGCCAAAGTGCAGCCGACACTAGTTCTGCAGGCGTATCAAATCAGTTGTGACTATGATTCACTGTTGGCTGGTTTTATTTGTCACCGTTGTCACAGTGGCGCAATGACAGCAACCTTAATGTTGCGTTTTTAACAGCCTATTGTCATTTTAGTTGGTGCTTCGTTTTGAAGATCTCAATACGCCAAATAGCTAGTGAAATATTTGCTGACTGTTTTAGTCCGACTTCTTTGCCTCATTAAGATTTTCGACAACACTGCAGTGCGCATCTGCAATAGTATTGGTAAGTTCATCGACATCTATTTATGTTTGTGCTTTGTGAATTTTGGCGCGCCATTGTGTGAACTGCCAAAAGCTGGTAATGCCGATCACAGTGTGGCGTTCCTCTTCTTTAACAACAACAGCAACAACAAAAACAACAATGCATCTGATTACAATTTTAACTTTGGCAGGAAATCAACAGGACGGATAAACTTCTACGCAAAAGGAAGATACACTAGGTTGGTGCACACTTTGCTTTGTTAGGTGTTTAGTTTTGCATATTGCTGTTTACTCCTCTAACTCAAAATATCGAAAAAAATATTTTATTTGTTAGTTTAACATAAAAAAGCTTAATGTAAATGATTTGAATACCACAAAATCTTACTTTTTGTTTTTTTCACTTTTAGAAACACAATTATGGCGTCACGTTTTCGAGTTTCAAAGTACAAAAACCAAACCCTGAAATTGCCGGAAAAGCCACCAAAAGTACAGTTTACACTTCCCAATCCGCCTTCTGGTGCCTCAAACTGGATCGCCTCATCTGGCTACCTGACTGCCTACCTCAGCGGCGTTGATCAGCTCTCCATTGGCTCTACAGTTTATGATACATCCAGTTCAAGTCTACTTTCGATTGCCGCCAACGGTCTCAGTGACTTTCAGTTTAATCCCTTTCACGATGACATTTTGGGGCTGTGCACCACCTCAGGACAACTGCGCATCTTTCGGTTGCCAATTATTCCTACTGAGCAGCAAACTCTGCAAGTTAAGAGTACTGAGACCGGTCAGTTTGTTGACTGGAACTTTGGAGAGGGCCACTCATTTCAGTCGCTAGCATTTCACCCGATAGTTGACTCAATGCTGGCCACAACTGAGCTAGAGTCACAGTTTTCTCTGTACGACTTTGCTAGTGGCTCAAACGGTCTTGAAGCTCAAATTCAACGTTTCAACTCGGGGTTGAAACTGAAAAGTTTCTCCTTTGATTACACTGGAAAAACGGTAGTTTTGGCCGGTACTGATTTGGAGGGCAACAACAACAACAACAACAACAACAACAATTCGTCTTTCACTATTCAGCTGTACGATGTACGGTCTAATGAGGCGACTGCCAAGACAAAGTGGGACAATGTGCTGGGCAGTGCTGCCGAGGCTCGAGTGCTCTTCCTCGACGGCGCATCCAGCACTCCCTACCTGCTCACATCGAGCATTGATCAGAAGAAGCACCGCACTGTGGCCACCTGGGACGCCCGTTCGCTGTTTCGGCCAGTGGCCACCTGTGTTGACTTTCAAGTGTCCTCAAACATCTTTCTGCCATTGCACGATGCAGACACTGGTGTGGTGTACTTTGCACTTAAAAATGGAAACTTTGTATCGTACTTTGAAGTTGATCAGCTCATCAGCGATGGATTTGACGTTAGTGGCTCGGCGCAGTCAATTCCTTTCTCTATTAAAGGTAACTTTGTTTGAATTTCAGTATTTAAAACTAACTTTTTATTTTCATTTTCAGGAACGACATTAGCCTCTAAAAAATGTCTTGACGTAATGAAAACGGAGATCAATCGAGTGTTGATGCTCACAAGTCAGCACGTTTATCCGGTTTCTTTTCATGTTCCACGAAAAACTTACTATGACTTTCATTCTGATCTTTATCCCGATATTCGATCTCCAAATTCAAAATTGACTCGCAAAACGTTTTTTTACTTATCATCAACTCAGCTACCGGAAAATAAAATGTCTCTTGATCCAAAAACTAATGCTTTTATAAAACTTTTGCAATTTGACTGTGACATTGGCGCAAAAACTACTATTAATTCATCAACAACACCAAATACTACCAAAAAGATAAACTCAAATGAACAGTCTAATAACTCAAGCTTTCCAAATACTGACACTTCAAGTGCTAGCAGTAGCTCTAAAATGATTTCTCAAGAAAGCTTTGAAAGTAATGCAACCATTGACAGTACCTCTGACGTGATTAGTTCTACCTCAAATGAGTCTAAATCAGCAAAACCAGCACTAAAGCCAAAACCAAAACCAAAACCCGAAGTATTGAAAAAGTTTTCTGGTAATTTAAAAAATGTTTTATTACAATGAAAAAACACAACTAAAAACTTAATTTCATTAACAGCCCCAGCAAAATTCAAATACCTAAAAGGCGTGGTGGGCAGCCGTGAAACCTGCCTGACTAACGTGCAAAACATCTGCAAGAACATCTCACCACTGTGCGAGCCCTTTAAGGCAAATGAGAAGTTCGGTTTGTTTCCACTGGGCACCGGCGTCGGCGGCGGCTGCAATCAGGTGGCCATTGTCGACTTGAACAGGCCCCAAAGATTATCTGGAGGTGTTCAATCTCACCTGCTCTGCTCCGACGTAGTGACCGACTTTCAGCTGGACCCCTTTCGCGTCAACCGAGTCGCCGTCGGTCTGCAGTCCGGCGTGGTGCTCATCTTCAGCATCTACGTCGATGAGGATGACGTCAACCTCAATGCCGACTCGGTGATCATCGAGCAGTACGACGCTCGACTGGTGGGCCACAATGGCCGCGTCACCTCGGTGCAGTTCCACCCGCTGGCCAACGACGTGCTGGCCACTTGTGGCACTGACAATCGGGTGTTGGTTTGGAATGTCGCCAATGAGGAGGAGATTCTCTACACGATTGACCTTTCAGCGGAGGAGTCGCAGATTTTTTCCATCTCCTGGAGTAGCTACAAGTGGGGCGGCACGTACCTCTCGGTCCTGGGCCGTTCTCAGCAGCTGTACATTTTTAATGTGCAGACGCAAAGTGTGGTTCAAAAGGGCAAACTGCCGTATAAAGTTAACAACGGACGAGTCGCTTGGATTGCCAACGATCAGTTGATTCTAGTCACTGGATTTAATGGGTAACTTTAATAACTAATACAACAGTGACATTTGATATTAATATTGCCATTTTCTTTAATTGTTATAGACTTTCTGAACGCCAGTTTTACCTGTTTAACCCTGATGACCTGTCAAGTGGTCCCCTAGTAGAGCACGGTCTTGATGTGTCGCCTTCCGTTTTGGTTCCCATTTTTGATAATGACACAAGAACACTGTTTCTCACCGGCAAGGGTGACGCTACTATTTACACGTTTGAGATAGCTGACATTACAAGCAATCCAGCTCCAACAAATCTCATTACTCAATTAAGTCATTTTGAGGCTCCCACACCACACCAAGCAGTTGCGTTGTTGTCTAAAAACAAATGCGATGTGAAAAAATTAGAGTTTGCCAGAGGATATCGATTAACATCGAATTCAATTGAACCCATTAGTTTTGTGGTTCCTCGCCTCAATGTAAGTTCATTTAGTTTTTTACTTTGTATTTAAAGTTTTAAAAAATTTTTATATTTTTAATAGATGGAGTATTTTCACGATGATCTATTTCCTTCAACAAACGTTACATGGTCACCATTGTTCTCCGCATCAGAATGGATAGATTTGTCCACTATGTCGCCTGATTCAATTCCGGTGCCGGAGCAAATCAGTTTAAAACCACAAGATATGCAGAACTACAGTGAAGTAAAAGACCAAATTGCCCAAGAAAAATTAGAAAAAAGCCAATCAAACCGAAGCATTGCTTTTGGCAACAACAACGGAGTGGGCAATGGAAATTTATTTGACAACATTGATGAGTCAGCATTTATGCACAATTTTAGTACTATGGTGCAAATTGGCAAAGAAAAACAAGAACTGGTTCGTTTATTAACTAAACAAATACATTTTCATTATAATAACCGTTTTTGTGTTTTTAGCTAGTGCAGCAAATTTCTGGAAAAGTGGAGTTTAATTCTGCAAAAACTGCTCTTGAAACTATTGAAGGAGTAGATCCAGATGAATGGGTATGTTTGTCAAGTAAAATCTATCGTTTCGCTGTTACTAAATGATTCATTTATTTGTTTTTAGGACGACTAAATGTTTTAAACGTATTTTTGCCGCAAATACTTAATAAAAATGCAAACGGATAGTCACAAATTTTATATTTTTGTTTTTTATTTGGAGTTTTTTATTTTTAATAAAGCTATTATACACATTTTTCTATTTATATAAAAAACTTTTTTAATTTTTATGTTGAATGACAAAATTTTTTTAATTATTT